ACTTGCGGGTAGTTTTTTTAGGAATAAGGGAATACAATCCCCTTATACTTCCGATATAAACGATGTAGGAACAAATAGGAGTGTAGTCCCTAAGAATCCAGGCTTCAAGTACAAGGGCTTCAGGTCCCCAATACCATAATCAGAGCGGCCTATTTACATATATATATATATGTGTGTATATAATGTTTTCCCTCATTACCTACCAACCCCTAAATCCTTAACCCTTAACCCTAAAACCCTAAAAGCCTAAACCCTAAAACCCTAAAACCCGAAACCCGGCTTCAGGCCTGGTAAGTGCACAGAACAGGACTTTCTGGGAGTTTCTCTGAAATGGAGGCCCCGATGTGGGAGTTTCCCAAAATTCGGGGTACTTTTTTGGGGGTCCCCATAATAAGGAATATAGTATATTGGGGTCTACATTGGGGTCCCTTATTTTATAAGCCCCAACATACTATAAGCCTTAATCTAAGGACTCCCTCAGAAGGACAGCTGGCTTTTGAAAATCAAACAACTTTTTGGGTGGTTAGTAGGGAACAAGGGAATTCATTATATATGGATTGTATTCCCTTATCCCTATGAATCAAAAACAAGCCGGCCGATTCAAGAGTTTGTGTTCTTCCGGCCGAGCCGCTTCTCAAAGTCCAGCCCGCATATTGCAAGCCAGCTCTTGAGACCTGTGTCCTTGCTGTAGAGCAGCCGTGGACCTGAAAATTTGGCATCATCATACCGTATCAAAGGGTTTCCCAAAATTAGGGTATCTTTTTGGGGTTCCCCATAATAAGCAGTATAGTATGTGGGGGATCTATGTTGGGGTCACCCTATTTAGGGAAATTGCCATTTAGGGTGTAGGGCTTGGGGTTTGGGGTAGCAGCAACTTTAAACGCGCATCTCGAGACGTTGTACTCCCCGGCCGCCGTTCTATTTAGGTTCTGCTTGCAAAGCTAGCGGCACGTCTACGCAGGTCTTTTTAGGAGCAATGCCTGACAAATCTGCCAATGCCTCTTTTTTTGCGCCATTCTGCTCAAGGCCAGGGTGCCATCCACAAAGTACATCTGGTGACAGACGCTGCCCTTTGCGAACACCGTCTCCATATAACGGCTGGACTCCTGGGAAGTACTCAAGGAATCGAAAATTATGCTCAAGAATGTGGGTGCAATAGGTACAGAACCAAGCAGTACCTGTGCTTGCTACTGTCATCATTGTTGATTGTACTGTGTCTTTGAAGCTGCTTGTGCACTTTTCCAGATGTAGGGCAATGTAGGGTCTCCAAGGCTTGAAAGTCCCGAATGACCCCCCAGAACAGTGTCTGCTTTGATCTTGCTCCAGCCCGAGCCTGCTTCACCGCATGGATCAGCATTGCCCGCAAGGTGGCATTGAACTCACCCTTCACCACTCTGAAGAGCCTTGTGTTCTTCAGGACCCTGGAATTCAAGACGAGGAGCAGTTGTGCTACCGCATTCTTCTGTAAAAAAGCTGGCACCTTTTGCAGCACCTCACCCTGAACTCTGAAGCTTTACGAGCAGGGCTTCCAGCACTGAAGTCTCATGCTGCCAGGCTGCGGATGATGGGACAGCAATGGCATGCGGACCTGGAATCAAGCTTCTGCTTAGAGTGGCTCAAGTGCCCTTAGGACATGCTCAACCCCTGCCAGACATTGGCCCCTACATCTCTCGCCTGTTGCATAGTGAAGTAGCTTCCATTTTCTTTTCCACTATCCCCATATAGCCCCTAATTATCCCTATATAACCCCTCATTATCCCTATATAACCCTATATAACTCCAGGTAGCTTCCATTTTCCTGTCCATTATCCCCATATAACCCCTCATTATCCCTATATAACCCTATATAACCCCAGGTAGCTTCCATTTTCTTTTCCATTATCCCCATATAACCCCTATATATACCCATTATACTACATAGCCTGCATAGTACAAGGCTACCTAAATGTCCAGGGCAGCCGAGGTGCTTCGGAGAGAAGATCTGCCTGCACCAGGTGGGGGGGTTCCAAAAACTTGGGTCTCTTTGGAGGCTTGAGAAGAAGTGTTCTGGTACGTGGGGCATATACTGGGGGATACTTGGAGGATATATAAGTGGATATATTGGTGAACATATTCGGGTACTCCTGGTGTTTGGAAATACCCAAGTATGACACCTGTGACAGAAGAAGCAGCAGGAGCAGGAGCTGGAGCAGGAACAGCAGCAGCGGCAGCGGCAGCGGCAGCGGCAGTGGCAGCCGAGAGAATAGTCTGGCTAGCGGTAGACATGTCATAAACTTCATTAGCACATAGCTACAGCTTGTGTTTTTTTGAGAAAAGTTGAATGCTTGTAGCACTGATTCGCAAGCAGTGGTACTTGTGGTGGCGGCTGCAGCGGTGGCAGCAGTAGCAATGCTGCTGCTTGCTGCTAGCGACCCGCTCTGTGAAAAGACCAGCGTCAGTGGTAGCATGTGGCACATACGATGAGAACTTCTGACATAGGGCCATGACGACAGACGTCATAATGCTGGTTATGATGATGGTGGTGATGACACCGACGAGCATCGCCATACTCATCCGCCGGCGAATGATGCTGGAAAGGATGTCGCGGCACTGTTTGGAAGAGTGACTGGCCAGCTTGGAATGGCTTCCGCGCACATTTCTTTGAGGCAGGGTACTCTCGGACAAACCTCCGGACAGAGTGAAAAATTGCAGCGAAAACTGCAGAGTTGCCACAGAGTTTGTCGCAACTCCCGTCTCATACTCTCTTGAAGCCATCTCAGAATCGCCGCTTTGAGCGTCTCGCCGCTCAAGCCTTGGACTGCAAATCGGTTTTTCTCAAAATTATGGGCCCCTTTTGATCTAAATTCGATTACGGCACCTAACATTTAGGAGTACCATACTGGGACCCTAAACCCTAAACCCTAAATAGGTGCTTCCCTTTTCTGTTCCATTATCCCTATAATATGACCCCACCCTTACTTTTCTGAACTCCCAAAATGGGAAAGCAGCGTGGAGTTATGCCTCGCTAGCTACTATGAATTAGTATAGTTTCCATGTTCTTTTACATTATGCTCATGGCTTAGGGTTTAGGGTATACCCACATAATCATATATTCCCTACTAAGAACCCCAATATATACCCTTTTCTACTGTAGCAGTTTCCATTCATTTTCCATTCTCCCTATAAAATAGGGGGTTTATTGGGGTTATAGAGGGATAATGGAAAAGAAAATGGAAGCTACTACATTAGAATAGTGTATATATTGAGGTTCTTAGTAGGGAATCAGGGAATATATTATCATATGAGGCCTATACTCTACTAGCTCCCAGTAAACATGAGGGTTCACTTTCTCCGAAGAGGTGGGGGACAGTGCTCCATTTTCAAGATTTTACGCTTCCGAGACCCAGGATGATACTGTATGGGCAGGCCCTACTCAGTATCCGTGCGCTGCTGGCATCTGCTGGATAGCTTGTGAGAAGCCAAATTAATTCAAGCATGTCATGCCTTTCTGCCTGGTTTTGGCCGGCCAACTTTAGCTTTCAGCTGAAGGCAATGTTGAGACCTGAAGTTCGCAATAGCCCCTATATCATCCCTATAGTTTCCATTTTATTTTCCATTATCCCAATATAATCCCAATATACTAAATACAGGGGCTCATGTTTGAGCGTTGACTTTAAATGCCCTCCGAGCTCAGGCTTCATGATACGACAAACCCCCATGACCCCAAGAATACACCCGATGTACTCCAAGCTTCAAGCCTGAGCGCTTACAAAAGCTCTGCAGAGAGGGACTTATACAGAACCCTCTCCATCCGCTTAGTATTGAAGTTTTGTCTTTCCTCTCTTTCAGGCCCTGTATCTCATAGCGTGTGGGAGGCGATGATGAATCTCACCTGTACGGAGGGCTACATCATACGCTACAAAGTACCCCGCAATCCCTGTAAAGTTCTTCGTAATTCCTGTACTATGAATCACCATGAACTCCTGTACAATCTCAAGGCCAATGAGATGTCCGAAGCCCTGCCTATACGAAGGGAAGCGACCGCATTTCCTTAAGAGACTAGGCGCTGTCCTCTGCTTTTTCTCTGGGACCTGCGCAAGAAGGGCTTTTCAGCTGGAGTTTCCCTGTGGGTGACCTTCCTCAATGCTTACAAAATAATCGCATTCTTCACACATCACTGCTACCTGGCTGTATTGGTCTTCTGTGCAGGGCCTGCGGTGGCACAAGCCATCCCACCTTCATAATTATGGTCCCTGCTCCTCCTGGAATTGAGAGCTTTTTACGGCTGACAGCGATCTATCGGGGTGATTTGCAGGACTGCTACAAGGAATGGAATGATTTTCTTATCCCCAAATAACTGTATGGCCCCATTATCCTCTTCAGCGGCGCTGTAATGTGCCATCTGTCATGCTGTACACTTCAGGTTATCTATGGTTATCTGCTGATAGGGTCCGCAGCTGAAGGGCAGACTTCAAAGCGTTGGTCGCAGCTTGGTGAGCCTGTTACTCATGCAAGACTCTTATCATGGAAAGTCAATGGAGAACTCACATCCCTGGTAGATTGAAGCTGCCTCGATAGGGTCGGGGCGCGCCCTGCTTTTTTGCTGGTTTGGGCTACACTACCCTGCCCTACGGCATGGCGTTAGTCGCACACCACCAAGGGCCTCCTCGAGATCTGCGTGCTCTTTGTCCTTGGAGTGGCACAAGGTCAGTATCAGCAGAGTCTGCTGCAGCAACTTCAGCTTTGGAGCGTGTGCAGCTTTGCATGAGCAGGCTGGAAAGACAGCTGAAACTAGGAAAAATAGAGGTGTCCGTCTAAGGTGACACGTCCCGTCTGCTGATGCCTTCTCTTGTGAGCTCAAACTATAGATCTAGCCTTGGGGATTCCTCTGACGCTTGACTAACAGTGCATG